CAGTACATTCTCCACATTGGAAACAGACTCTTACCTTAACAAAGAGTTTAAAACTCAAATAATTGGTTGGGGTCATGAGCAAGCAGTGCAAAAAGAGTCAGACTATATTATCTTACTTTGGTGACAAAGAAGATCAAAACATACAACAAGAAGAAGAAAACAAAGCCAAAGCTCCTACATCCAAAACTTCCAAGAAAAATATGAATCAGTCCCAGGCCTTGGAAGAGCTCAAAACGGATTTTGAGAAGCAAGTAAGAGAAGTAGAGGAAAAACTGGGAAGAGAAATGAGAGTGATGCAAGAAAATCATGAAAAGCAAGTTAACAGCTTGCTGAAGGAGACCCAGAAAAATACTGAAGAAAATAACACCTTAAAAAATAGCCTAACCCAAATGGCAAAAGAGGTCCAAAAAGCCAATGAGGAGAAGAATGCCCTAAAAAACAAAATTGGCCAAATGGAAAAGGAAGTTCAAAAGATTACTGAAGAAAATACTTCCTTAAAAATTAGAACAGAGCAATTGGAAGCTAGTGACTTTATGAGAAATCAAGACACTGTAAAACAAATCCAAAAGAATGAAAAATTAGAAAACAATGTGAAATATCTCATTGGAAAAACAACTGGCCTGGAAAATAGATCCAGGAGACAGAATTTAAAAATTATTGGACTATCTGAAAGTCATCATCAAAAAAAGAGCCTAGACATCATCTTTCAAGAAATGATCAAGGAAAACTGCCCTGATATTTTAGAACAAGAGGGCAAAATAGAAATGGAAAGAATCCACCAATCTCCTCCTGAAAGAGATCCCCAGAGGAAAACTCCTAGGAATATTGTAGCCAAATTCCAGAGTTCCCAGGTCAAGGAGAAAATATTGCAAGCAGCCAGAAAGAAACAATTCAAGTATTATGGAAACACAATCAGGATAACACAAGATTTAGCTGCTTCTACATTAAGGGACCACAGGGCATGGAATATAATATTTCAGAGGGCAAAGGAGATAGGATTACAACCAAGAATCACCTACCCAGCAAAACTGAGTATAACCCTTCAGGGGAAAAAATGGTCATTCAGTGAAATAGAGGACTTTCAAGCATTCTTGATGAAAAGACCAGAGCTGAATAGAAAATTTGACTTTCAAGTGGAAAATGAAGAGTTAAACAGGAAAGAGAAATCATAAGAGACTTATTAAGTTTGAACTGTTTACATTCCTGCATGGAAAGATGATATTTGTAACTCATGAGACCTTTGTCAGTATTAGGGTAGTTGGAGGGGAAAATTATATGTATAGATAGATAGACAGACAGACAGACAGATAGATAGATAGATAAATAGATAGATAGATAGAGGGCACAGGGTGAGTAGAAGATAAAGGGGTCATATCTGGAGAATAAAATTAAGGGGTGAGAGAGGATTATACTAGGAGAAGGAGCAAAGGAGAGGTAGAAAGGGGTAAATTATCTCACAAAAAAACAGAGAAGAAAAGGCTCTTACAGTGGAGGGGAACCGGGGGAAGGTGAGAGGGAATGAGTGAATCTTATTCTCAAAGGATTTGACTTAAGGAGAGTATAACATACACACTCAATTGGGTATGGAAATCTGTCTTACCCTACAGGAAAATAGGAGGGGAAGGGGACAAGAGAGTAGGGGGATGATAGAGAGGAGGGCAGATTGAGAAAGGGGGTAATCAGAAGCAAATACTTCTGAGGAGGGACAGGGTCAAAAGAAAGAATAGAATAAATGGGGGGGTGGGATAGGATTAAGGGAAATAGAGTTAGTTTTTCACAGCATGTCTACTATGGAAGTGTTTTGCATAACTGCACAAGTATAGCCTATATTGAGTTGCTTGCCTTTTCAATGAGGGTGGGTGGGGAGGGAGGAAGGGAGGAAATTTGGAACCCAAAGTTTAAAAAAACACATGTTTAAAAAAAATGTTTTCACATGCAACTGGGAAGTAAGAAATACAGGAAATGGGGTACAGAAATCTATCCTGCCCTACAGGAAAATAGAAGGGGAAGCGGGGGGAGAGATAACAGGGATAGCAGACTAGGGGAAGGGGTATTCAGAATGCATGCCATCTTGGGGTGGGGGGAGGGGCAAGATGGGGTGAAAATTTGGAACTCAAAATCTTGTGGAAGTAAATGGTGAAAACTAAAAATAAAAAAAAATTAATTAAAATTAAAAAAAAAGAAAGAAAGAAAGAAACCTAGCCAGTAAACCCCAAGATATCTAGGTAGGTTTCAGCCTTCAAAATATACCTTCCTTTGGGTAGATCACCCTCAGGTAAGGTCCTGATGCCCCATGTGGCGCAGCATGGAAGAAATTATCTGTCAGATCTATGGATTGTCACCTTTCAGCTTTAGGACTTGAGAAAAGAGACTCAGTTTCTAGATCAGGACACTCTCCTTTCTGGAAAGAAATTTTTCACACAACTAATGCACTGTTGGTGGAGCTGTGAATTAGTCTAATGATCCTGTAAAGCAATTTAGAACTACACCCAAAAAATTTTAAATTTTGCATATTTTTTGACCCATCAAAACTACTACTAAATCTACACCCCAAGGAGATTAAAGAAAGAGGAAAAGGATCCATATGTAACTTTTGGGGGAGGCAAAGAATTGGAAAGTAAGGGAATGCACATTAATTGGGAAATGGCTGAGCAAGTTATTGTATATGATTGTGAAGGAATACTATTGTGCTCTAAGAAATGATGAAGGAGATGATTTCAAATAAACTTAGAGAGACTTGAATGAAATGATGCAAAGTGAGGTGAGAACCAAGAGAACAATTTGAACAGTAACAGCAAAATAGTAAAGATAATAATTAAAGACCTAGTAACTCTGATCAACACAATGATGAGCCACAATTCCAAAGGACTGACGATGAAACATGTATCTGTTTTGAAATAGAGAATTCAGACTGTGGACTGATTCACATTTTCTTCTATTTCTTTTTTTGTTTCTGGGAACATGGCTAATGCAGAAATTTGTTTTGCATGTCTATACATATTTGTAATGGTTATTATTTTTCTTGTCTTGATAATGAGTAGGGAAGAGGTGTGGGGAGGGAAAGAATTTGGAAGTGAAAATAAAATTTAATTTAAAAAAAGAAGCACGTGAGACCAACTGAGAAGATGTAATGCCAAGCAAAAATTTCAGGATATACCCAGATGCCCAGCCGAGTCTGTATGACAGGCAGAGACAACAGGCCATGTGAAAGCAGCAACAAGGAAGCCCAATGGCAGACATGCAATGCCATCACCAAAAGAAGTTTACAGCCCTGCTGCCACAGAGGTATGTATGTCCCTCCACATGTGGGTCCTAAGTAGGTCCTTGCTCTCCAATGTGCATTATGCCTCAGATTTTATGTGGAAATGTTCTGTTTATATTTTCCTCCTTTGTTATTTCTGCACATGCCTTTGCTTTAAACTAATTGTGTTCTCTGGCTGACTAGTAAACACATTACAAAGAGAAAAAAAGAAGGAATGTAGTCCAGGTCAATTGCACTTCCTTCATTTTGTCCATTTAGTTACATTTAACTTAATCTCTAGAAAATCTATAGAATCTTTTCAACCACTGGACACTTTGGAAAACTAGATGAGTTAAATTAAAACTTGCTATAATACATTTCATTATTATGTGCAGTCAGATATATATGTCAAAACATGTCTTCTCAAACATTTTATATTCATCTTTTTTCCTCTATAAAAGTGTAAATTTTTTAATTCCTTCTAGCTAGTTTAATGTCTTGCACAACGCTGGCACTTTAAAAATGTCTGGTTATTTGAATTGAATTATAGCAATTCTATACATTAAAAATAACAATTCAAGGTCATGATAACTCATAGTCAATAACACATTATGTTGAGACAACAGCCCATATGACTGGTATTCGGGGGAGGGGGCGGTTTGTCCAGATCTATGATTTCTTCAGTGTAGATAACACCCAGTATAGAAACCTTATACACCAAACATGGAGCAGCAACTCTTCTGTAACTTTCAGTCTTAAAAATTAACCTGGCATTAGTGTTATCAAAAATAACAGCATTATAAAGTATGAATTCAGCATGGTAAGCAAAAATTTACTCCCTGACTCCAATGGGAAAGTTCTACATGACTATTTCTTATGTACCTTAGGAGGATAGATAACCAATGCTAAAATGACAAGACAAATAGCTCTCAGATATGGTTTGTGTCCCAGGTCCGGTGTTGTCCAACCCCCAACATTTTACCATTATATCATTCATCCTTACCTGAGGTATTGAGAAACAAGAAGAGGAAGCAATTTTAAAATGAGTCAAATTAACATTTGTGAGAAAAATGTTTGTGATACGAAAGAAGTTCAAATTATCAATTAAAAAAAGATGATTAGGTTAATAGTTTATTTCAATTTATTTATCATTATAATAATGGATATTTATGGAGTACTATAAAGTTGGCAAAACATTTTATATACATTATAGTACTTGATCATCCAAACATACCTGTAAGGGAGATACAATAGATGTTATGCCTGTTTTATAGGTGAAGAAACTAAGTCTTAGGAAGATAGTCACTAGCCAATGCAGCAAACAACTATCAAAGGCAGGATTTGAAACCAGTTCTTCTGAGCCCAGATCTAGAATCTGCTCTGCTAGTTAGAACAATTTGCCATGGTAGTTAGTACTCATTCCCCAACCCCCATTATTATAAACAGTGAGAACTGGTTGTAATGAGAAAAATGTAGAAATACAAGTCAACAGTACAATAACAGGATGCACCTGCACATTTCATAGAAACAGGTGACAGCAGATTCATATTATCTGTACCGTTAGGAGTATTCCCAGGGTACATGACACAGGCTGAAGCACAGCCTAAAATTCTTTCAGACCTTTCAAAAATGAGAAGGGACTGTCTGACAAACAAAACATCAGGCTGCTAACTGGTGAAAAGAGATAGCTGAGAGTTCTTATCGACCAATAAAGTTTAGAAACATAGTTGCTCAGCTGTAATGAAAACAAAAACAAGGACTATTCAATTCAGCAACATATTCACTATAGTTAGAACAATACAGAGAAGATTAGCATGGCCCCTCAGCAAGGATGACCTGCAAATTTGTAAATCATTCCTTATTTCTAACTATATGAATATGCTATACTACAAAACACTCTTTACACACATAACAAAGACTGACCTAAATAAATTAAGGAATATAATTTCCTCCTGGATAGGCCAAACCATCATAATAAAATAACAATACTACCTAAATTAATTTACTGCTGAAAGATGACTTTATAAAGATAGAAAAAATAGCAAAATCCATCTGGAGGGAAAAACAGATCAACAATCTCAAGGGAAATGATGAAAAAAAAAAGTGGGAAGGAAAGGGGCCTATCAGTACCAGATCTCAAGCTGTAGCTATTTCTAAAATTTAGTGCTGATTTAAAAACAGAGTGGTAGATCAGTGAAATAGATTAGGTACAAAATATACAGAAGCAAATGAGCGGAATAGCCCAGTTTTTAATAAAACCAAAGACTCCAACTACTGGAGTAAAAACTCTAATTTGCAAAAAACTGTTGAAAAGCAGTCTGTAAGAAACTACATATAAAATACTATCTCATAACTTCCTTTCTACTCTCAAGGGTACCACCATCAGTCCAGTCATCCAGGCTTGCAATGTAGGTGATATCCTTATCTCTTCATTCTCTTACCCCCATATCTAATCAGTTCTCAAGTCTCTTGTCATTTATGACTTCATACCACCTCTAATATAATCCCCTCTCTCTCCTCTCACATTACAACCACCCTAGTGCAGGCCCTCATCACTTCACTCTTGGACTATTGCAATAGCGCGCTGGTGAGTTTCCCTGCCTCAAGACTCTCCACTCAATTGTCCAACTGATCTTCTAAAAACACAAGTCTGACCACATTGAATAAACTTCAGTGGCTTCCTGTTACTTCCAGTTCATAACCTAATCTCCTTCTAGCTTTCCAGTCTTCTTATACCTTACTCCATTTCATGTACTCTGATATCCAGTGACACTGCACTGCCTTCTGTTTCTAAAACACAATATTCCATCTCCTGACTCTGAGCATTTTCACTGCCTAATCCCCATGACTAGAATGTTCTCCCTCTTTGTTTCTGTTTCTTAGCTTCCCTGGCTTCCTTCAAGTTTCATTTACAAAAAAGGCTTGAAGCCTTTCCCACTTTTTCTTAATCTTTGTGTCTTCCCTTCAAGAACATCCAATTTATCCTGAGTCCATCTTATTTGTTTATAGTTGTTTGCATGTTTTTTCCTCCATGAGACTATGAATTCCTTGACAGCAGGGACTGTTTTTGCCCTTTTTTTTTTTTTTTGCTTAGTGCAATGCCACGCAAATAGTAGGCACTTAATAAGTGCTAATTGACCAAGCAGTTGGCAATATACCAAAATAAGTTCTTTTGGTCATATTTGACTCTTTGTGACCCCATTTGGGGTTTCTTGGCAAAGATACTGAATCATAATCATAAACAATCATAAATGAATTAGTAGAAAAATGAAGAGATGATGACCAAACAGAAGACAGAGATGATCACAAACAATAAAAAGCACAATTTCAATTGTGTACCATTGAAAAGTGTTTGTACAAACAAAACAAGTGCAGCTAAAATTAGAAAGAAAGAGACTTCCAGAGATGAACCTAAGATGGCAGAGTAGAAGAAGGACTCAGTCAACCTCTCCCAACATTCCCCTGCAAACAAATTTAAAATAATGCCTCAAATCAAATTCTGGAATGTCAGAGACAACAAAAGGTCAGAGTGAGACATTCTTCCAGCCAAAGACAATTCAGGGAGAGGATTCTGGGAAGATGGTAGAGTAGGTCAGAAAACTTTCAGCTTTTTAAATTTCCTCCACAGAGGGAACACAGAGCACTGGAAATTTGGGGGGAAAAAAAGGTAGGGTAAAGCAATTGTCCTCCTAAGACAATTTGAGAAGACCCCCAGGAAAGACCTGACTCCCAGGGGCCAACATTCAGCCTGAGTGAAGCACAAATATCTCCAGGTGACTGCGAATTAACAAACAAGCCCTGGGGGCAGCTGAGTTGAGAGGCAGCCTCAGCCTTAGAAACTTTCATCTCACAAATACTGTAGGGGTCTGATGGCAGAGAAGGAGAAGATTGAAGGACCTTTCACTGTGGAGGGACACCTAGCACAGCTGTGCTGACCAGACCTGTCCCAGGCTGTGACTGGGGGAAGAAGGAGCTAGCACACACCTGGTGAGTGTAGTAGTAGAGGGCTGGGGACCCTGCTGGCTGTGGGCACTTACAGGAGAGCAGAGTCCCTGGTTTCAGTTCCAGGGCAGAGAGGACAGCTGTAATTTGCAGCCACTGGAGGGACCACAGGGAGCAAGATCATTTGTGGGACAATGTGGCTGGGGGCCCTAGTCATGGCTTAGGAATGGAGAACAGAGCCCAAGGCTGGACCCTGGGACAGACCTCAGAAAATAACAATAAGAAGAATCTGAGGACCGGGGCATCATTCCCCATATCTCAGGACTGGAACTTGGTTACACTGATAGCTACTTAAAACAAAATAAAACTAAAAAATAAAAATGAGTAAGCAAAGGAGAAAGAACCCAACCATAGATAGCTACTATGGGGATAGAGAAGATCTGGGTTCATATTCAGAGGGAGACTGTGGAGCTTAAAAAAAAAAAAGCCACTCATTTTTCAAAGAGAAATGTCAAATGGATGAATTTATACATAAAATAGAAACTGGTAGCAGATTAAAAATTTGAATTAAACTATGTTGCTTTCAGGAAATGCTATAAAATGAGAGATATACACAAAGACAAAATAAAGGTCAGGAGTAGAATTTATTATGTAAAAAAGCAAAAGTAGTAATCATGATCTCAGACAAAGTTAAAGCTCAAACGGATTTAGTCAAAAGAGAAAAATAGGGAAACTACACTATGTCAGCAATATTATTCAGTATTGTTTTAAATTATTTAAAATGACTAGACAGTATAAAATACCTAAGAGCCTACCTGCCAAAACAGACATAGGAACTATATGAACATAAACATAAAACACTTTTTATACAAATAAAGTCAGTTCTAAATAACTGATTTAATTTAAAATGACAATTTTATCTAACTAACCTATTTACTCAATGTCATCCCAATTAAATTGCTAAAAAAAAAAATTATGTTACTGAGTTAGAAAAAATGTTTGGAAGAACAAAAGGTCAGGAACTTCAAAGAAACCAGGGGGAAAGATGTAAAGGTTCAGCAATATCAGACCTTAAACTGGATTATAAAGTGAGAGCACTGTTGAAGTGTAAAATGAATAATTTTGATTATTTTAAGTGAAAAATTTCTTGTATAAATAAAACATATATAGCCAAGAATAGAAGGAATGCAGAAAATTGGGAGGAAACTTTCATAGACATTCTCTCAGACAGAATGTGATTGGATTGAAATATTGCTGTGGTGTAGGAAATGAGAAGCTAGCTGATTTAGAAAAACATGGAAAGACTTGGACTTATGAAGGAAGATGCTATCTACCTTCAGAGAAACAATGACAAGTGGAAATAAGCATAGTATGCTCTTACATTTAGGTGTATGAGTGTATATGTGTATGTTTATACATATCTATGTATATATGTATATCTGTGCTTAATTGTAGCCTTCTTTCAGGGGGAGGGAAAAAAATAAAGTAAAAAGTGCACAGCAGAGAACAAAAGAAAACCTACAAGGAAGCATAGAAAAGCTGAACAGCTTTGAAAACAATGTGTAGTATTTATTATATAGGTTTTCTTCCAATGGAAATTTATTGCTTTGTATTGAATCTTCTCTTATGTTCTGCTGTGTACATGATAATTTTTTTCTTGTCTTGTTTTGTATTTAAGTTTAAAATAAATTTTTTTAAATTACCAAAAAAAAAAAGACAATTTAGGAAACTGGAAGTAGAGATCTGTGACATGAGAGTATAGCCTAGACTGGAGCCCACATGGATACCAACAGCAGCAGCCCTAGTTTCAGGAGATCTCAAGCTAGAGACAGTGAGGGGACCTGGCAACTGGTCAGAAAGAGATTAGAGGGGACCCCTGTGCTAGCACTGGTTGCAGGACCAGACACTGTTTGGCAACTCCATTAACTATACCTTCTTCTGGAACACAGTTCAAGAGCAGAGAGGAGCACTTTCAGTCAAAAGGGATCAGTGTAAATTCTGGTCCCAAGGGAGCTGGGACACTGAGAAGAAGTATCGATTGCAATTCCAAGGGATCAGAGGTCCTTCCTGTATAATGACAATATTGTTACGAACAACTTCGAAAGATTTAAGAATTCTGAACAACACAATGACCAACCATTTCTCCAAAGGACTCATGATGAAGTATGGTACCTAATTCCTGACAGAGAGATGATAGACTCAGAGTACTGACTGAGACATATGTTTTTTTGGACATGGCCAACAGAGTAATTTATTTTGCTTGACCACACATATTTGTTACAAGAATTTTGCTTTTCTCTCTTTTTTCCCCATGAGGGAGAAAGGAGAGAAAATGGATTTTTGTTCACTGGAAAAAAAATCCAAAAATAACAGAAACAAAAGCAAGGCTCCACAGACCAGCAGGGCAAATACTTATTGACTATTGACTGTGTTGGTACTACCATATTAAATTTAATACATATTTTAAAATAAGCTGTATGTAATTGATTCAGAATTTCAAATACAATTCCTATTTTTCTGGCTTTCTTTGTTTATGAAAATGTTTATATTTGTAGATAATTCTCTACTTCACAGTTTTTTTTAAAAAAACAACTAAAAATGGTTTAAAGGGAAAGAAACATAATGGCAGACAATAGCTGATTTAGCCACAACCAGGACAGAGGCTTAACATCAGCAGAAATTTCATAAAAAATTTGCCATTATGTTTTCAGAGAGTTACTCATTTCAGTATCCTCATTGATTATTAACATGTTGACAGTTGTTTAGGCAGGCAGAATGAACAGTGAAGAGAGGGTGTAAATGGAGACTGTTTCAGATCTAAGATTTAAAATGAGCACACACCAAGGCTGGGGTAAGCAACCTGTATTATTAATGCCATCAATAAATTTCAAGATGAACATACGAAACAACCTCTTTGGATTTTG